AAGAAAGAAAGAAAGAAAAAGAAAGAAAGAAAGAAAGAAAGAAAGAAAGAAAGAAAGAAAGAAAGAAAGAAAGAAAGAAAGACTAAAAAAATAAATAAAAAATAAAATAAAATTCCATTTCTTCTTCTGGACATAAGAAAGGTAAATTAAAGAGGAGCTTACGTCACTGAGAATGTTGAAGGCCTCGTTCAGAGCTATATCCAGCATTCCAATTCCTTTGGCAAAAAGTTTGTCCAGATGCTCCCGGAAGTGCTGGAACAACAAAGCAGAGAATTCATTAGCATCCGAACTGTTACATGAAACACCAACCTCCAATGAACAGGTGCACACTAAGACCAATGAGTCTGGGACCAAAATGGTCATAATGTGTTTCCATCCTTCAGAATTCAAAACATAAGAACCTATTCAATATAAAATTTGCCTTCCATACGCATTTTCAGCTTTGATTACATTCTAGGGGAAAAATTCATTGAATTCTGGTGGAAAGTACTTAATTTATCTGAAGTTCTTACTTTCCTTTCAGCTCCCATGACCCATCCTGTCCCCTTCTACCCTCAAATTTCCCACTCCTGATCACTTCTAGGACTCTGCACATGCTCTCCTCCACTGGGAACCCACCCTCCATCCATTTCCTGGCTCTCCCACCACATTTTCCTCTCACCTACTTTTGGGATCTCAGTTTGGACATCACCCCCTTCTGGCCTAGGGAAACTTCGCAGACCCCCATCTCTGAGACTGCTTCAGAATGGTTCCTTAGGACCCCATGCTGCCTCCCATGCTCAGACCCACCTTGCACTTAGCACTCTGGGTATAGAACTGCCAGTTAAATTCTGCCCCCACCCAAGACTGTAACATTCTGGAGACCGGGCATGTCCGGTGGCCTACTCTCTCTCCCTTGATGACAACATATCTGATACACAAAAGGTGCCCAAACCACCTCCAAAGAGAAGGATAAAGACTGGATCACAAGGTAAGACTTGTGATTACGGCAAGGGGGACACAGGCCAGAAATCAGAAGAGCTTCAAGGAATATGCAAAATGGGAACAAATCTCTTCAGAGACATCCCCAAGGCCCATCTGCCTATGTTGGTTCCACAGAAGCCCAGCATCAGCTGAAGAGTAAAGGCAGCAAAGAGAAGTAACTGTGGAGCCCATTATGTTTCTGCTTCTCAACAAAGATGCAAGAGTGGGTCCAGGCATGTGCCCAGGGACACATGAGCCGGTGGGATGTCCACTGACTCCACAGTGGCACAGCTGCTTGGCATTATTTTCCAACTGCCCTGTTCCAAAACCACTTCTTTTCTACTGAAATGAATTACTCTCTCCTCAAAGGCATCCACACCCTTGTCTGCTGGAGAAACTGGACGGAGGAGTCACAAGGAGGGAGAGGGGCAGGAAGGGTGTGCTCATTGAAAATGTTGGCTAGTGATTTCCCGGCTGAGGAATGGCTTTCTTTCTCTGCCATACCCTGGGGCCCATCAACACCCCAAACATTCCATCAGCATGGTGACACCTACTCATGATGTGTCTGCCTTAGAACTCTATAACTGATTGCGGAATAAGAATAGATCAGAGAGATCAATCCTAGGATGTGGCCAATGGTTCTAAGATGCTCTTCTCCCTGGGCCCCCTCCAGGAAGCAGCAGGGGCCACTGGTCGTGGGGGTGGGCTGCAGGTTTGCTGGCAAACTGGACTGGAAAATTTTGGTGGGCTCCTCACAGTGATTCAGCTTTAAAGACAACCAGACCTAACATGAATCAAGATTGGATTTGAAGTTGGCTGCTCACCCTGGGAATATTCATGTAACCCACAAGATCCCTTCTTGGGTCCATCCCTCCCTCACAGCAATCATGCCCTCATGCTCACCAGAGCAGCCATGGTTATGGAAACCTGCTTCATGTTAGGTCCTTAGCAAATATCATGCATTTGTGTCCTCACAACAACCCTGTAAGGTTCCATCAACCCACTTTGCAGATGGGAAAAGTGAGGCTCAGCACTGCACTCCAATTCACACACCTCCTAGCTGCCCGGCCCAGGTTCCACCCCAGATCTGCTTCACCCATTCTAATGCCTCCCTTTTTCTGCTATACACCTGCTACTTTGTTTGTTTGTTTTTTAGTACTTTGTATGCCAGGCACTGGCCAGGAGCTCTTAATCTCTATACCTGGGCTACAGCAGAGTCTACAGGTGACTATCTGAGTCTACAGGCTTGCATAGTGGGGGAGAGAAATGCTGAGGGCCAGGGACTTGCTGTGGCAAACCACACGGCCAGAAACCAAGCTTTGCGCTTCTCTGTTCTTCCTGCTGAATGTCCAAGGCCCAGCAGGATGCTGAGCACATGGCATGTCCTTATCAAGCACCCAGTGAACAAATCCAGACAGTTAACTAAATCTGAAGAAGCCCAGGTGTCCTGGCTGCACATGGGCAGGAGGGGATCAAAACAGATCAGTCTGCCTTCTCCAAGAATCACTGCCCTTGGAGACCTGACTCGCAGGTGAGTAACGGCCACCAGGAAGGACTTAGTTAGGCTCCGCAGGCACCTCAGGACAGATCCCACACACCCTACAGGACATTGTGACATGCCCATCACGCAGCGTGCAGAGGCCGGACTTTAACAGGTCCCAAGTTCACATTGCTGTGACCAGACCCTGCCTTGACAAGTTCGTTCTATTCATCTGATGTCATTTCTGTCAACTGCATTTAATTGTGCTCAGCTACACAAGTTTACACAGTATTTTTTTTTTAATAACATAGCAACCCCGTTTAGTTTGTCTTTTAATCCATGTGTGGCTGCATTTCCTTTTCATCCATGTGTCATGTGCAGAAAGACTGCTCCAGGCAATAGTTGCTTTTATTGCTGGACATTTAGAGAAAAATGCAATAACATGCCATGGAGTTCCCCTCAACTCGATTTCATAACAAGGTCAGTTCTGATTTTATTTCTTCCTGGGACAATTCTGGTCCCCATATTACATGGGAAAAATATATCCCCAGGTTAAGGGGTTCCAAATGACATCTCAGATGAAGGACACTCTCTCTGTTTCTTTCCCTCTCCTCTCCCTCATGTCCAGACTCCATTTTCTTCTGTGCCACACCTGGACCTAATCTGCTCTTCCAGCCCGCGTTTAACCCTCAGCCCACCTCTCGTCTTACACAAAACCAGGGTCTTGCCTTCCAGGGAATCATCCCCAGTGATGTGGCCCCACCAAGAGCTGCTCTGTCCACCATGGCAGTCATGAGCTAAATTTAGCCATTGACAGTAAATTTAATTAAAATTACATAAAATGAAAAACTCAGTTGCTTCATTCCCCAGCCACATTTCAAGTGCTCAGTAGCCCCCTGTGGCCAGTGGCTACTGCACTGGAAGGTGAAGATCAAAGTACACCTCCATCATCGCATAAAGGTCTATTGGACAGAACTCACCTGGAGACACTCGGGCTAAAAGGGTCCTTCCCCCTTACCAAGCCACTGACCAAGGGTGAGTCAGAGGAAACTCTAAGGCTTGTACTCAGTGAATGTGTTTGGTTTTTGCCTGTTCAACACCCATCCCCCTTCTGATTTTCCTTCTCCCCCACCGCCTCCTAATTCATATGGTTTGGGTGAGGCTAACCTCTCTCTTCCTCCTTCCCAGATGAAGGGGTGAGCCCATCTATCAGGCTTGACCAATTTGTGAATTCCATCCCAAATTCTACTAGGTACCATCAGGCATGGGCATATGACCCAATGCCTGGGCCTCTACTGAAATGTGGGGAAGAAAACTTTGTCTCTACTGAGATTACCGAGAGGTAGGGAAGAAGCCTGGGGCTGCCAACAGCCATCGAGCCACTGGGCAGGAAGCTCTCCCCTGAATAAAGGTAACGGCCAAGGAGAACTGGGCACATAATGGGGGGGGGCAAGATAGAACCATGACAGCATGGCTTGAGCTCCTAGAACCAGGCATGCCTAGCTTTTTCAGATAAGCGAGCCAATAAATTTGCTCCTTTGCCTGACCAGATCTAGCTGGATCTGGGCCACTTAATTGAAAGGAAAGGACCTTGATGACCACAACCATCACAAGGACCCTGGCCAGAACAATGCCTCCAAAGCCCCGCCCCTGGATTATAACGATCCCCTACATCTCCTCCATCCCCCTCCTCCCCTTTCTAATCACCGCATCACATCAAGTGGTTTACTTGTCGTATGAGTGCTCGTGCCAGAGTAAGGCGCTTCACGGAACACTCCTGGTGCGCATGGATTTAACGCCCACTGCTTTCACTGCTCATGACATGGAGTAATTTGCTAAGGAGGAATCCTAAGCATGTGTACTCCAAGGGTAGTGTCTGGAAGAGAAGGAAGGGGCCTGGCCCACCGCTCTGCAGCCTCTTCATCAATACAGATTTCTTCTTCTCTACTCTCAGTTGTGGTTGCTCTAAGATTCAAATTTTTTTTTTAAGATTTTATTTATTCATTTGAGACACAGAGATACAGAGAGAGAGAGAGAAAGCATGAGCAGGGAGAGAGGCAGAGGGAGAGGGAGAAGCAGGCTCCTCGCTGAGCCAGGAGCCCGATGTGGGGTTCGATCCCAGGACCCTGGGATCA